TCATCTCTACAATAAATCAAAAAATCAGCCGGGCGTGGTAGCGCATGCCTGTAATTATGGCTACTTGGAAGGCTGAGGCGGAAGGATTGCCGGAGCACAGCAGGTCGAGGCTGCGGTGGCCGGAAGCGGCCACTGCACTCCAGTCTGGGCAACAGAGTGAGACTCCAACTCAAAAAAGAAAAAAATTAACAAAAATAAAGTGCTTAATTAGCACAATGCCTAGCACATGTAAGTCTGTTACAATCAAAAGCAGGATTTCTTCCTCCTGGGTATGATTAGGAGGTATCAGAGAAGAGGCAATCAGTGGCAGATATGTTTTATTGACAAGCAGGATACACATGCCCTTCCACATGGATCATGGGGGCATTGCAGGAAACTTGGAGCTGGGACGCCCGTCCTCCCTGCCCCTTCTTCCCTAGGTTCCCTCTGGACTCTGGCTCTCTAGAAGAGACATTGCAGCAGTTACTTGCTGGAAACCCTGTAGGTATGCTGGTTGGGTTCTCACAGCTTCTCATGTGTACACTGCCTGTCCCTGTGGGCTGTGGACAAGGGGCTTGCTCAGTCATTCATGTCCAGGCCAAATTCTGGATACAACTCTCTGGTGGTGACATGTCGGATAACAGCTGAAAGAAAGGAAGAAGGAAGGATGAGTGTCCAGTGGGGAGAAGTTGGGGGGAGTGTGGCCGAAGCCTTGGGCAGTGTCACTACCCTGACTCAGGACCAACATTTCTGATTTCGAGCCAGTGCTTGAAATACCTGTACTCTGCCTAATTGGTTGAGGTACCCTATTCCCAGGCCGCTTCCATGGGTCCTGCCTGACTACTCCACGCTGACAACTCACACTGGAGCTCTTCCCTGGGCTGGGCACTGCATTCAGCACTCCACCAATGAGGACTTCCTGAACATTCACTCCATCATCTTTTTTTTTTGAGTCAGGGTCTCACTGTCACCCAGGCTGGAGTGCAGTGGTATGATCACAGCTCACCATAGCCTTGACCTTCTGGGCTCAGAAGATCCTCCTGTTTCAGCCTCCCAGGAAGCTGGGACTACAGGCATGTGGCACCACGTCTGGATAATTTTTTTGATTTTTTTAGAGATAAGGTCTGACTATGCTGCCTAGGCTGGTCTCAACTCCTAGGCTCAAGCAATTCTCATGCCTTGGCTTCCCAAAGTGCTGGGATTACAGGTGTGAGCCACTGTGCCTGGCTTTTTCTTTTTCTCAAACAACAACAATTTATTCCTTGTCATTCTGAAGTCTGGGAAATACAAGATTCAGGGGCCAGTCATTTTGGTTCCTGGCCCTCATCCCATTTTGCAGAGGAATAAAACAGCTCCTTGAAATCCGGACTCCACGCACAGCAGTGAGAGTCATCTGCTTGGAGTGTCAGCTGACTGTATCCCATGCCTGCTGAAAACCCCACTCCAAGCATGGTCCACATACCGACCCCTGCCAGTCTACCCATCTATGATGTTGTTCCTCTTCTGTTCTCCTACGGATACTTATCCTTTTCTCTCCCGGGAAGGCTTCTCCTTGGAGGCCTCCCCTGACCCCTTTACCTCATCCCACTGCCACCCTGTTCATACCTCAATATCCTCCCATCCTGCCCTGTGTCTCCTTTCTAGCACTTAATGCATTTTGAAATTCATTTATTGTGTCCATTTCTTTACTGACCACCATGCCCACCATGCCTCCCACACCCAACACTAAAACAAGCTACATGAGAAGAGGCCTTCAAGTATCTGGTTTACCAAAGTGTCCCTAGCATCATGGAGAGTGCCAGGCACAGAGTAAGTGCTCGGTAAATATTCACCGAATAAACAAAAGGGATAGGTCACCTGCTTCAGGTCATCTGATTTGGCTAACAAGAGCTTATGCTCTTAACCACTAGGACACTCCCATCACATTCCCTTCTTTTTATTTTTATTTTTGAGTCGGAGTCTCACTCTGTCGCCCAGGCTGGAGAGCAGTGGCACGATCAATGCTCACCACAGCCTCAACCTCCAAGGCTCAGGTGATCCTTCTGCCTCAGCCTCCCAAATAGCTGGGACTGCAGGAATGCACCACCATGCCTAACTTTTTTTTTGAGTTGGAGTCTCACTCTGTCGCCCAGACTGGAGTGCAGTGGCCGCTCCCGGCCACCGCA